AGGTAAGAAGCGCGAAGTGTGCGATGAGGAGCAAGCGGCAGCTCTGGGCCTCAGAGCGCGGGCGAAAAAAGGGAAGACGCGGGGCTCCTTCGCCTGCCTCAAGTCGCAACCGAGCGAAAACGCTACATGCGAGATAAGAGCGAACGAGTTTCCTCCCTTCCCCTCTTCCGCCGGAGGGCGGCGTAGGCGGAGACGTGGCTGGCGGCAATGGAGGGGGGGGGAGTGCGCAAGAGGATGACAGGAGTGCCGGATGGGAAATGGGGGTGGCGGTGGTGGTGGCTACGGATGTAAAGAAGGCGGTGGAAGCGTTGTGTTGTGGCATCACAGAATCACCCTATCGGTGTATTGACACGTTCCCCTCTAGATGGCTTCATCCTTTTTTCCCAATATCAGAACGTACTGATGCAAAAAAGTTCTTTTGAAGGCGTTATCTGCAATTCGGAACTCTCATTTTTTTGTTTTTCGCTTTACAATCTGGCACCTCGTGGTATAATTCGATTGTAAAGTGAAATTATTGTAAATACCTTAGACAAATTTGAATGTATAAAGTAAGGCTAAAAGTCAAATAATAATTTCACTTTTGAACTAATGCCATTACATTAAGTTATTAATGAGGAAGTGGGAGAATATGTACTGCACATTGTATTGGAATTACATCCATCTGAGGACGTACAATACGTCGATTGACCTAAGCCTCTGATTTATTTATGCTAATTTTATTTTGTTAATAATAATTTTAATAATGTAAAACCAAGCAATTTCTTATTGTGACCGATAATTCCGAGTTTATCAGAACAAAAGACGAGAATTTGGTCGGTGGCTTATAATACCTATATTTAAGTAAAACAATCATTAGAGTTTTTCTACTATGGCCATGCAACCATCCCTTTCTATCATATTTTGTAAAACGATGTCTGTTCTCGTAAATCTGCAAAAAATGTGTGTATCGTTTTAAATTCCACTTCGGCTAAGTAAACATTATCGTAATTGAATTTGTTGCATTCTTTAGGGTTTCTCCAGTGTTATCTTATTTGCTTACTGTCATATTTACATTCTTCTATTTATTTAAAATTTGGTATTTTTGGGAATATTTCGATACGCAGCTGGTTTAGCCTGTGTGTTATCCATAATTATTTAAATACTTTTAGTTTTTTTCTTTCACCTTTCAAAGGAAACCTGCTCTTCATCGCTTTGAGCAGAATAGATTTATCATTAGTGTAGTTAATATTGAAAAAGAGTGGTGTTCTATTCACTCACAAATTATGCATTATTAATTTTTTATCCTTTTTTATTTATTTTTCATTCGCCTCACCTGTAGTGCCAGAATAAAACATTTACATCCAAGAGAAAATGGTGAGTGGGATGCACTTCCGACGGTTAAGTTCCGCTCCGCCTCTTCCACTTGACGGTCGGCCATCCTTCATAATCCTTCATCCCTCTTCGCTCTTCTTTGCACGCAGCGCTGCGCTGGAGCCCCCGCCCCCGCTGTCGCCCCTGGACGCCCACGCCGCTGCAGCGCCACGTCGCAGAAACGCATTTGCCACGAGAAGCTAGTTTTAACGAGGAGCTCGTTCAGCGCACCTTTGAAATTATCTGTCTGTACTGCATTAATGGTTTACGGCATGAAATAAGAGATATATTTGTTGCTATTGGTAAATATCATTAACTTATGCCAGTTTTAATATTTATTTATAATTTTATTGATTGTGATTGAACATAATAGTAGTGCTTATATTTCATTTAAAATATTCTTTCCATAAAAATGAGCAGATCGTGGTAAATTAACCTTTTTTAAACGTTCTTCCGTAACTGTTTCAACTCACCATATTATCCTTCAAAGTATGGTCCAATTGTGGCTATGCTGATGAGGTGTTGTTGACGTACTTAAATGGTAAAATAATTGAAGTCATCTTCGTCAACTTCGCCAACTTTCTACATTTATTCAGGAAGAGGACTTCCGAGTGCTTTGGCGTTATCATCAGTCTATAAAAATACAATTTTACTTACCTCTCTGCCACCCCCGCCTCCTGAGACATTTCCAAGAAGACACTAAACAGACCTCCTCCGACTTCTTTCCCGCAGCTCCAGGAACCTATTTAAACGCTGCTTCCCTGCGCGTACTTATCTCCAGACTTTCGCTACATAGCAAGTCAAGCAAGTGTCTCAACTTATTCTGTTTCAGTTTTTAAAATTTAATTTGATATTAGTTTGTTACTATCATTATTATTATTATTGTTATTATTAATAATTATTATTGTCATTTTTAATGTATATTTTGTAATTTCATTATTTTAATTAATTCACTTTTATTTCAATTTTTGTTAACATCAATGTTTGTTAATTGTATTATTTGTTTTATAATAGCTTCTTATTTTGTATTTTATTTGTATTATTTATAGTCTGTCGTCAAAAGCCGGGTCTCTGAATAAATCTAGCCAGCCAAACGGAATTTCAGCGTGCTTCATACCATCCATGTTCTTTGGAACTTTTGTAAATGCTCAATGTAAAATTTTCATATTTTTTTATAAACGTTGGGAAGACATTTCCTGAAGTAATGGTAATCTTTTACTCTTTCGTGTTCACTCTTCAGTAAAAGAGTACCATGTAATTGAATAACGATCCCTTAAGTTGGTCACAGGAGTTACGTCTAAATAGTTACGGTAGTTTTGTGAATACTATTTATGTTGGTTGGAAATTGTTCTGAGAGGGAGGGCGCCACATGTTGTCTTACCAGGCAGATACAAGTGATTGGACGGCTGTTTCCAATCGGTAGTAGAAACTACCGATTGTGTGGTCTTCCGATCAACACAAGGCGAATGCCGGAGCAGTACCCTAACAAACGGGCTACATAGGAAAATATATTCACCACACTTAACGAGACTAAACAACATAAATTGACGGGCAACGAAACACAGTAGTCAATCAATTAAATACAGTGATTGGCGTGATTAAACCGCAGCACCGCTAGGAAGATAAAATCATCCTTAACGGGATTTACCATAACTTATTTTCAAATGATTTTAAAATTAACAAAAAATGATGAATTGCTTATCAGTAATCTCAATCCATAGACACCTCACACTTCGTGTACTGAAAACTTTGTACAGAGAGCGCACTAGTCAACTGATAAGCGGTCAGTGTTACTTCTACCTCCAAAGCAGTCACTTCGTCGCGAACAGAGCGCAGGCGTGTCCCATGGAACAGCCGCCCCACGCGGCGTAAATTGTTTCGTTATCAGTGAAAATTGGTTAACAACAATAAGTGATTAAACTGTGTGTCTGAAAAAACATAAGCTGTTCAATGTATCAAGAATTGGGCTGCCTCGCGAGTGACATTCCGGCCGCGTTGAAACATTTGCTTGACACCCACATCAGGGCTGGCGAAAGAGGCTGCCAGCAACCTGGAATGCAGCCGTTCAAACCTCAAAGGTGTGCCAACGAGCACTGTTCAACTGCAGGAACACCCTTCAACCCTACCAGGTAAACCAACTAACACATCAACAGTCTGAAAAATATTTTTACTTCCTTTAACAGTTATTTCAACCAACACTAGTGAGATAAACTGTTTTAAACGTAAACATTTTTCAAGAGCATTTTTACATTTATTGACATTTTTCATTTCATATTATTTTCGGATGAAAAGAAGATTATAGATTCATCAAATGGGCACTCTTTGTCATTAATCTCCTGTCTTTAATTGTAATACGTTCACGCCAATTGTTCGTCAAAAATCGAAATTACCTTTCAGGCTATTCTTCTGTTAAACAGCACTCCATATTAGTTAATTGAACATTAAAATAATTATAACTTGTAATAAAAAAGGGTTCTTTTCCCTTATCGTAACGAACGAAAATCGGCTCGCTTTCTTGAGAACACGCCGAATTACACATCGTGCCGCGCTAGCGCGAGCGGAATGGCGTCGAATTTGCAACCTCCAACATTAAAGGCGTAGTGTCAACGCTAAGCAGGCGCTAAGCCTGACAATCGACTCACTGAGACTCTGGCCGTCGGCTTACGCGATTAACATACATCATCCTCGTCAGGGCAACGCATTTTATGCCTAAGTACTTTCTTATCGAATTCTTTTAACTGGATATTTTCACGTTTACCGAAGTTGGGTGAGGAGGCTACGTCCTTCGGTCGATGTGAATAATATAAAACATCCTTCAACCTGTTGAAAGTATAGTTTCTAATTGTCGTTAGAAAAATGTAAAAAGAATGCCATTGTCTATAGAACTAAGTAAACGTAATGCCCTCCTACACCCAAATCGTTCTTTGCTTTTGTTCAGCTGTATACTTGTTTCACCTGTTCAAAGTGTTTTGAAAATTGTATTGTGGAAAAAAGTTTTTCAATTAAGCGTCATTTCTATTTTTAAACCAAGACATAAGGGTTTGAAAAATTAAAATATTAAAAAGTTTGGTAAAACGTAATACATTACATTTTTTTACAATTTTATGTAAATAATGGTTTAAAACGTGGTTCTTCTTTTCGATTGCGGGTAGATTTAACCACCATCGTATTGAGATTTACCATCCTCCTTTTTATAGTAACTATCGACACAAAAATGAGGACAATTTGTGAAGTGAACGGGCCCAGACTGGTTAAGTAACGTAAAAGAATAGTAAACCCAATTTCCATTATATGCAAAGATCGTATTTGTACCTGCAGAATTACGTCTCTGAATTACTGCTTCTACACTAGTTGTACGTAAGCAATTAATACGTCGTTCTGTCGCTGGGACAGAGACGTAGCCAGAGTGTATAGAACAGCTGAGAGCCGTTGCTCATGGTTGCCGGCAGGGACTCGAGGTGCAAAGGCGAGATGTTTGTTAAAGTGGAGGCCAACATTAGACGCTCGCGACACCTGCGAACGTTGCTGTACCTTTGCTATTAAGCAAGCGTCAGTCGCGCTGCGTGACCTCACAGGCGCGGCGCGGAGTACGGTTGGTACAAAGGGCTAGTTCCCTAGTAGAAATCGTAGCCACAAAGTACAGGTTCCGTGGTAGAAACCACGCAAATCTGAAGCGTATGTGTTGGGTCGGGGCTCGGAACGTGCCTTAGAGAACACGGGTAACTAAGTTCGGATTGCATGATCCGTGCGAAATAGTGTCCATGAGATAATTGCTGTCTTAAATCTGGAATAGATTACTCCGCTGTTGTTTGGTATAGACTACTACTACTACTACTCCTGCCCTCTTGCATCCAGTGGGGGAAGATTACAGCCACCTCCCGAGGAAAACATGCAACTTACTAACACTACACTTACGGGACTAAAGACCTCTGTAGTTGACGCGCCCGGAATCATTAACGCCTAAACCATCCAACCAACCAACCAACCAACCAACCAACCAACCAACCAACCAACCAACCATTCTGTCCTCTTACCTCTTGCGGAAAGACTTGGGTAGGCGACTTGGTGCAGCCATTTACAATGCACATGCTGTATGGATGCTTAGTGCTCAACCAGTGTTTTTGTGTCAAGGCTCTCTACTTTATGCACGTGGCTCAGTAATATGCAATTAGGAAAAATTAAAAATTAAAGCGTTGAAAATACCATTAAAAGGATAAGACATCGTTTTTAAAATGTTACGTCACATAAAATAATACAGTATATAGCGATGCCAGAATCAGGAATACGAATGTTTTATTTAAATGACCCCTATCCACTATTATTAAAAGATACTCCGGGGGCCACCCCAATGGAAAACCCTTGTACATTTCAAAAGGTTCACAATATTGAAATACAGTGGTTGCGAAACAATACTTAACCATGAGCCTTTGCCGTTTTAATATTTTTACTTTTAATGACATTCAATCTTCATTAATTAAAAAAAATCATGTAGTTCACGTGTTTTTTCACTTGCAATAAACAAATCATGAAAAGCTGCACAATTTGTTAGTGATTTGAAAGTAACATAGAGTAACAAACGAATTTCAGATACGTCATTTAAAACTGAACGCAATAGCTGGTAGAATGATACTTTCGTCTAGCAGCCCTTGCAGCGACCTCCTTTGGTGCAGGAGACTTTCACCTCCCCGAAACCTTTATCGCTCTCAGACACATCCCTCAGTGCCCACTTTCTTTGGGAGGGTGAGGACTGCCCAAGATCCTGTCTCAAGAGGCCGGATCTCCTCACCGTATTAATTGTAAATGTGTAACGACTTTGTAACGTAATCATTTGATTGATGAAAACTGATCTTTTTTTATATATACTCGGACCTGCGCTCACTAATGTACAATATTACTAAAATTAATTAATTCTAAAGAAAATGTAACGAAGTAATGTAAAATGTAAAGAAAATCTCAACACGGAACAGTTCAGACAACGGTTTAGTTTACTTTCAGGTAATTTTTATATTGACAAAATAAGATATTATCAAAACAAATTTTTTAAAATTTTTTAATTTTTCTGTCCCAAAATAGTAGAATTGTAAAATGACTTTTGGAAGAGAAGAGTGAAACCTGGTTGTACATGCAAATGCTCATTGAAAAATTGCTACCCTTTGTGAGAAAATGTTATTTGAGTGGTTATGAAAATACTCAGTACATACCAAAACATTGCTATAGTTCGCACTATAGTTTCACATTTGTGAACATATATTATGACAGATTTTAATTGGCAATTGGGAAGAGAAACAAATGTGTTGATTCAAAATGTTTTGCTATGAAGCGTTAGTTTACTTTTCACTGACTAGATAAATTACAATAATACGTGAGTCGTGCGTTTGAGAACATTGTAAAGTGTATGTATAAAAAAGTAAAAGAAATAAACTTATAAAAACAGCGTAAGTTGAATAAAAAATAAATCTTGGTTTCATTCCTTCAACATAAAAAGGGCAGGCGAGGGCCTCGATAGCTAGATCAAAAAGATGTAGAGGGTGAAGGGAAATTAGAAAAATAGTGAAATGCATACACAATGCAAAATGCGAGGATGAAAAGCAAATGGACCGAGTGAATTACATAATTGAGAAAACAAACAAATAGGAATAAAAAAATAGGAATAAAAACTACCTTTAAAACGGGAGTAAATACTGTTTTATCTCCCATCATATCCTCTTGAAAAAACATTTCCTGTGAACAGCATACAATTTGTGCTTACAATGTTTATTATATTTATAACCACATACTCTCTCGGTTTCAAACCTTCAAAATGAAAATTGTTTGTTTTAATTAACTCTTTCCATTTGCAGTGAAGGAAATCATTTTACACACAAAATTATGCTTTGTCATTTTACCACGGAACATTGCATTGTCATCGGACTTGTACATATTCGACTTTCTATTTCAATTGGAAGTACGGAAATTTTGCTTTCGCACAAATGTGAGGTCCAGTAGTGCGGTATACCAACTACCAGGAGTTTTTCCTTGACATTTTCAAAACACAATTGATGGGGATACGCATCCTCGTCGTAAATTGATGCAAATACGTAAATAATATTTTAAGTACAAACATTAGATGGAAAGAACATTTATTTAGTGTAAATAATACTTTAAAAAATTATTTCTTATGTTCATATTCTACAGCTGGCCAATGAAAATAAAACTTTAAAAATGGAATAAAAGACGGTCTTACGTTGCGGCGAAAGCAAGATGATGGAATGTATTTTGTATTAAAGTGCTCAGTTTAGCAGATGTTTAAGGACAGTCAAAAGCGGTGCGAAGGAAATGGAAAAATCTAATGGAACAGAACGATAAATAATAAGGGGGAAAGTGGGGATATGGTGTAAAGAAGAGAGAAAAGATAGAGGGTGGTTGACGTAGTGGTAAGATACGTGTACTGAGAACTTCAGATTTCACAAAATGTTAATTTTAAAGGTAATGAAAGTGTTTCAGTATGTCGTGAAACAAGCTGTTACAGTCCTCAATTATTGAAGAGTGGGGAAAGTATGTCGTAAATTTATTACGAAATTTAAGTACGTATGAAGAACTCGTGTACCGTGCACTTTTGCTAAGATTGCAGGCACCGTTGAACTAAAGCAAAGATAGAACTCTACGTAATTTTTGTAGGAAAATACCAAGTTATGGGATTGGTTATAAATATAGAAGTAAAATAATTCTGAAACGTAATAGAAATCTGTAAACACGTCGTACAAGACATACAACATTCATTTTGATGAAAATAATTTAAAGAGAAAATTATTTTCTTAACTGTCTGTCGGAGGTTGTAATTTCCATATTATTATGCTTACTGCTATTATTTTTATTCAGGATAACAGATTCGCCTATAATCTTTAATATATCGACATGCGAAATTTCCTTTTGTATTATTAAAATGTTGGTTGTCTTGTTGTATTAATAACATTCGTTTTCCCCTTTGATATAATTATTAAATTGTCCGAGAATCTGTATCTGTATTGAACAAACCGATTATGACCCATACAAATTCAATCCATGTCCGTGTTTGCACTTAGATATCAATACAACGTGAGAATAATATAAATGTAATTAAATATAATAATAATAATAATAATAATAATAATAATAATAATAATAATAATAATTATTATTATTATTATTATTATTACGGATTATATTCGCATCAATAACAATTTTATTGATATAACAATAACAAGGTCTCTAGCCTCTCAACCAACGACGCGGCGTCTCCCGGATAGCCAAGAATTTATGGAATCGAGCTGCAGAAGCGTACGTGAGAAACAAAGTGATTTAAATTTTGTTGAATGATCTTGAATAAAGGAAAATAATGTGTTCCTATTTAAGAATGCGAAGGGTAAATAATCTAACGATCTGCTTTAACGCCACAGGAACTGAGGTCGTTGCTATGGCAGCTATTCCGCATCTGCATCGTAAGGTCACAGCCGCTTTAGAATAGTTTTTAAACCTACTGCTGCGGTGCCGAACACACGGCATTTAGATTAATATTTTTCACGTTATTTTCTGCGGAATTTTTTTTAGATGTGAAAAAGTGATACGGAACTGCAATCTTCTCTTTCATGAAATTTTCAGTGCTTATAAAACTATTTCAAAATGTTCAATATTGCGTTAAATATGAAACTAGCGTTTAAATAAATGCGTCCAATATTCCAATTCTTTGTGAAAACCAATTCAAATGTTCGAGGCGAGCTGGGGAGTCGTATATAATTATTCGTCAATGATACGTGATCAATTTCTGAAGCGTTCAAGCCAACAGTTAGGTTCTGTATAGTAACATTTATTTTTAGTATGTGCAAAAGGCACTAATCACACAAAGTATGTACTGTAACACTTCATAAGATGCGATTTTGATTGGGAAATGAGATGCTACACTTCTCTTCATTTGTAAATATTCACCTATATGTTTTGTTTTTCTTATGTATGGATGAAATTCTGGACGTTGTTTGGAATAATCATTTTGGATTAAAGAAAAACCATAAAGGAAACACTCTGCATTCTGATTCCAGTTTCTTTATAGGGTAACTATTGACATGTTCCAAGCTCTATCCATTGTGATAGAGCAAGAATGCAGATAGATCACAGATGACTTATTTGATGAAAGGAAGAAGAGCAAATATGTGACACTATATTTTATCAGTGATTGTTGAAAATTGTCCTTCCTTGAAAACAAAAGTTGTTTATTGTAG